AATTAGAAACGTTAGAGCTTGTAAGTTCTGTGCCAACAACTTTCTTATTACAATTTCTATCAAAACCATTTATAGTCTGAAATGTCTGTGATTTATTTAATTGCCAAGCACTCGCACAAAGGCTAAGACTTGGCAAGTGGAGAGAAGACTCACAATTCTATGAATTGACTCAATCGTTGGCTTAACAACATTATCAGACAGTTTATTTTGCATAAATAAAGAGGCGTTGCCTCACACACAGACACATTTTGCCGAAATTTCGCCAATTTTTTCCGATTAATGTGAGAAAAGTAGCTAGAAATGCTGTTAAAAGGGGGGATTTATTCTCATGGCAACAGTCTGGCAAGCATTGAAGTGGAAATCTACGAGGGTTGTTAGCTTAGTGTGAATTTTGAATAAATAATAATAAGCCTTTTTAATATAATGAGATATGCAGAAAATAGAACATCTGCTTATGTGATTTAACATATTTCTACTACATTTTAAATAGATTTGTATTATAATATCAATCTATTTAAATGATTACATTAAATAATAACAGGTTTTTACTAAGCTTCAAATTGAAAATGAATTGAAAAGAATAGATGTAGTCACTACTGATTAACAAATCAATACATACTTAAGTTAATACATCCCAAAAAAAAAATTATGTTTCAGAACATTAGAGCTATAAAATTTGTATACTTGAATCATTTTTCTTCTGTCTTTTCAAAAAAATGTCCGACTGAAATATGTTGTCACTTCCAGCTCCTTTGAGCGACATTCAAAAAGAGTATGCTGTTAAATACAAAAGGACGGTGTCACTAGCCCAATTTATGGCAGCGCAGAGCATTTTTCGAGACAAACAAAGATAGGAACAGTTGCCAATGGCGACCTTTTCTGTGTGTGTGTGTGTTCCTCTATGTCTGTGGTGCCACGTGTTGGCTAAACTCTCTATATGACTATATATAGTCAAATTGAGATAAATGGGGCCACGCATTTTAGCAACGGAAATTGCAGCGTTTGGATAAAATATTGTAACTCTGGCTATGTCATGTGAAATTAAATTTAATCTTTCAAAGGGCTGAACTATAGCCAAGAGTGAACTCGACAGACAGGACATTTGGTTGGGCACAATATGATTAATATGTTTACAACATAAGTGGCTTTCTGAGAAAAATGTGATTAAAAGAATATCGATATATTCTGCAAAATATTAAGCAACTCAATTGAATCACCGCATTTTTGGGACCAATTGTGACTCACCTTATTATTCAGATTGTATATTTCTAAAACGAAAGGTTATGTGTTTCCAAGAACCGAGACTTTCTTTTATTAATTCCAGAATACATTTTTCGAAGAATGTAGTAAACTTGAGTCCAATTTCCGGAACAGTAGTAGAAGTATTGAGATTCTGGGACAAGACACTTTTTCTAAAAAAGGTTTACACCTGTCCCTCGCCCAATCAATAATGAAGCAATACTATAATGAAGCAATTGAAAATCAAAAACTATTTTTTTCTGAGTCTATTTAAGTAATGTAAGCATGCATACCTAAAAGGCCAACAATAAATTCAACTGCCTTCTGGTGGCCGCTCAAATCAGTTGAGAGAGACAAAGATGGAGAGAGGCTTTAAGAACAAAATTCAAAATATGTAACAAATATGTAACTTATTGTTGAGTAGTGAGGAAATGAGCGGAGACATATATACATATATTTATTTATTTAATGTCGGCCAATAATAATCGGCACGGGCAAATACAAAACGTAAAAAGAAATTTGAATTAAATTAAAATTTAAATGTAATACTTAACTTTAAACTTACAATATGCTACATTTATCCAACATTTTTTGCATGGTTCAGGGAATTTCCAGAAAACCTCAATCAGACCAACAATGAGTTAAATATTCGATTAATAAATTAATTATCTTATTAAAATAAGTTTACAAATATTTTATCGTTTAACAAATCAGGCAGAATGTAATAGTCCAGCTGCCCCTTATCATAAACACATACACAAAGTAAACATATCCATAGCCCAACAGCCATTTATTAAATTCAATATTTACCCAATGCAAACAATTTAAAATTCAATTAATATTACCGGAGAGGCCCAAGCAACGCCCATTTATTTGTAGACGTTGGAAGCCATATTGCCGTCGGAAATTTATAAATATAGTATACTGGCATCTAATAGTCACAGATGGGCGTCCCAGAAATTCGAACCGCCCACCTGGGCACGTGCCGTAGCAATATCTTACAATTAACAATTCAGTTGTTATCGAGAGGAGAGTGGGTTGAGAAAGCGTTCGAAAAGCCAACAAATAGATAATAATGAAGGCACAATGTCAAGTGCTGAGTAGAAGAGTTCAATGACTTCCTGTCGTTATTTAAACAGTGACTGCCGAAAAGCAGGCAATGCTCATTTATACTCATTACATTTGTGGCTTGCAGCAACTGTGTGTTTCACAAAAATAAATGAGATAAAATGACAACAAAAATAAATGAGATAAAATGACAACATAAAGTAGAGTTAATTGCAAAAATAAAAAGTAAGATATTTACTTTAACATCAAAAATGAATATATTTGTCTAGAAACACAACTTTCAAGTACATTAAATTCAAAGGCGATCAATACTCTTTACTTAGTCTTATGAGAATTTATAATATTCAAATTTAATTTTGTTCTTAAAACCTTTTCTGAAATTTCAAAATATGAAGTAGTTGATTTTTTTTTGTATTATTTAAGGTTTCATCTTTATTATATATATACTTTGATATATGTGAGCTTTTTTAAAATCCAATTTTGATTATTTGATTTGTACAGAGAATACCATATTTCCATTGCAAACTATTCCAGGGAAATCAATAAAAATAACGCCCAACGCTCACATTCAAATATATATTATGTATTACATGCTTATCTAGAAACGCTTAGGAGTTCAGAATTTCACTTCAATTTTCTTAGATTAGTTTGAATAAGCTCAACAAAACATGTTGGTGGCCCCAAAGCGAGCTGTGTGAGTTGTCAGCTTAGAGACGCCTCCAAGGCATTTGTCAGAGCTGTGAAATTAGGCGATTTAATACTTATAATAGCCTTTAATGCCAAGAGGCATGCGACATATTGAGCGAATCCCATCCTATGTCTATGTGTTCATCCCTGTCTATGTTTGGTATCTTTGGGCAGAGTTCATTGAACGGCTAAAAAAAAAAGATATGACCAAAACAAAGGCAAGAAAAACGCATGAAACGTGGTTTTAAATCTGTTGGTCTGGTCAAAGTTGAATGGTCAACAGTTGTACAAAAAAGGCAGACTTTTTACTGGTAATCTAATTGCAAATGCAGATTATAAACTGTGGCAGACATCAGGTGAATAGGCTCGAAAACATGGTTGAGTTTGTGTCTGTTTCAATTTAAGGGGTTACAAGTTAAAAATAGGTAAAAGGAATCAACATGAATGACAAATTCTTAAGTGAAGCTTGACAGACCGAAAATGTACAACAAAAAATAAGCAAAAGTGGAGTAAGCGATTTAGATATACCCTGTAATATATTCTTAAGAATTATAAATGATGATATAAACACAACGTGTATACATTATTATAAAAATACATTATTGACATATGCAGTTCTCCGTATTGTATTTAAATGTATTTCCAAACTTACAATAACAGTATTAATTCCATTTTAATAACAAAGCGCAATTGGTAGAAAAGGCTTTCCATCAGCAAATATATTCACTTATTAGTTTTTATTAATCGAAAAAGTTAATATATTTGCTGATGGAAAGTCTTTTCTACCAATTGAGCTTTGTTATTTATAGTGAACCCTATACATTGGAGCTTTGTTATACCCCTTTTCGCAATATGTTAAGATTAATGGGTACACAAATCAAATGTGCTATGCAAAGCATGCCACACGCACATAAAATGGGCCAGATAATGCCAATCAAAAGAGTTCCCAGGAATGTGTGCATAGTATAGTATAGTGTTTGAATTCCATGAATCGACGAAATTTATGCAGTTTGTTCCCAATCAAAAATATAAAAATATAAATATAAGAAAGATAGCTCGGCTATATTAGGCAGCCCGAAGATAAATGCCCCTGTAGAACGGAGTTAAGTTGCCGGCATCTAACTCTCACTAAATTTAAAAAGCTGTCAGATTGTTTGAACGCAATTATTTTGGAGTGCAAATGTAATTATATAATTTTCAATATATAAGGATCATAAAATATGTATATCTTGGTAAGCAAAAAGGTTTTCAGAATCAGAAACTGAGTGAGGAACAGACAGGTGAGGCTAATGGCACAATAAAATATACCGTGTGAGGTCGTTGATGTCTGCTTTTATTGATACATTGTACATTATATTCTTACACACGATGGAAGCTATATAGAATGAGATAATTTAGAGATTATATTACAATTTCCATAAAGTACAAAATAACGAAAACATCTTTGTACAAAATTGCACTTTGTTTATAAGATACCATATTCCTCATAAACATTATATCCAAATTTATAAAGAATACAATACTTTGTTGATTCATTTCTTAATGCATTTCTTAGATTTATTGCATTTATTATTCCAATTTTAATTTATGTATTACAGTCTAATTATTATTCCATAACCGAAAAGCGTGCTTTACTCAGTGTACTCATTCCTTTAATCTGCTCCGCTTAACGCATAGTCTTCAGCGTTCCATACAGTTAAATAATTTATACAGATGCGCAATGTTCAAAAATTCAAGTGAATGATTTGGTAACACCGCCTAAGCTAGCTGTATACTGTTTTGTTATTGAAATGCGATAAATATACAAAATGTATGAACTTATTCACGCATGTATGTCTTCCGCACAAACAGTCAGAGAGCCAGTTACCATAGACGACGATCCAAGATGGCAGACGAGCTGTTTGCACCCTTGCACCCCCCTCCGACCCCAACCATAATCCATGCAGTTATGGCCCATCGAGCAGCAAGGACAGCTGTCCGAACGATTTACGAGGTCGTGCTTCACATAACTTATGTTGCAAGACAAGCTCAAGAGCTCGCCTATCTTATTTGCAATGCTCCATTTATTAGTCTTTATAGTATATGTGTGCGTGTGTGTTGAGTATATTTCTCGATGAGTTTACAATTTCTTAGAATTCATTTGCGTTGTTGATTTCCTTTCCCTTTAATGTCTGGTGTCAATTGGTGTCTCATTTCCAGTTTTGCATTTCATATGTGTATCGCAAAAGTCAAAGGTCATTTATTTCTTTTTATCCTTATCCTTGTCCTTGTCCTTCTTGTCATCACTTTTAGAGTTGGAACAGGAAGCTAAGTAGCCACCGCTCTGCATGCGATCAAAGGCATCCATTGGATCGTAGTTTGCATAAAAGTTCTTATATTTCAGTTTTCTTGGCGCATTGCTCAGCATGTATAAGCAAAACGGAGCGACCAATGATAAAATGCAAGCGGTCTTCAAAATTCGCAGCGACTTATTCAAATGAATATCACGCATGGGAAACTTGAACTTGGGTCGTGGCTTTTCTGACTAATAAAAGTTTAAAAAGTCTTTATTAATATATTAAAGATGTAAATTTGAAAGAAAACATTATTATTTTGTATATTTTTTAATTACTAACCTTTGCCTTAGACATTCTGAAATTGTTTTTTTTTTTATATGTTTCTAGAGTCCTCACAGTTTTGTGTGATATGAGTAAATAAAACTATTTCGAAAGATCTGTACAGCTAAACATACTATGATTGAAAAAATAGCATGTACTTCGTTTTTAAAACTGCTAACGCAAACAATTATTGAAATAATAAGATATTAAGTTCGCTTTTAGTATACAGCCCAACTTCCTGAGTTCATAACACTGTAATAACAAGAAATCATCCGGATTACATTTTCACTTCCTGGAAAAACATAAATTCAGCCTGCACAACCAATTTAGAAGTGCACACATCTATATTGGGAATATTGTTCAAAGTTCAAAAATGTTAAGGATAAACTAGTATTGATTTATTTCCTCTAATTGGTTGAGGTAGAAGAAGGAACTGCTAATGGTCGCAACAAAAACACAAAAATTTCTTTTCGTATTGAGAAAGGCTTATGTATCAAGCTGCAATTTGCCAATTTCCTGGAACCCCATTTGCCATTAAGAGCCATTGAGTTAAAGTCATTGCACAAATCCCATAGACAGTGTGATTTATTGTTGCGTGCTGCAAGCCGGCTATTACGTTGGCCATGCAATTGGCCAAACTTGTTGAGAGTCTAGAGTTAAATGAGCTCTGAGTAGGAGATAGTTTAAGGCAGCAATTTACAGTCAATTATAGTCGGCTTGGCCAAGGAGGGGTCAAAGATAATTGAAGCTGGCTTCTGGTTAATCAAGCTGATACTTGTCAAAAGTCCTTGCAAGAGCCGACTTAATCCAGCGGATAAACAGAAGATGCCTGACTTAAGAGTGGGAGCAAAAAATTCAAATGTGAACCAACAGAAAAACACAAATAAAAAGAGTATTAAAAAAGGCAAGAGTCTGACAAACGAGAAACAATGCTTACGACGCTTAACATGGCCATTTGTCTAAGACCGGCAGCGGGGGAATAAATGTTTACTGGCAGTGTAAAAAATTCGAGGCATACTTTTGGTTCACGTGGCTAGCAACATTGCTGTTTACATGGCCAACAAGCATGCAAAGTGACTGAGCGGCTGAAAGCATGCAACAGCCAACCGGGTTTTCAAGTGTTTTGCGAATAAGTAGGATAAGAGCTACACTGAGTTTAAGACCTCTCAATTCCACATTCAAGACTTAAGAGTGGGCAAATTGACTATGCTAATAGACCCGCATAGGTTGAGCATTTACATATTGAAACTTGATTAAGAAACTCAGCTTTACTCAATTAAATAAAAATGTATATTATTAAAAATCAAGAGGTAAGCAAAAATACATTTTAAATTATGTTTATTTCCCAAAATGTTCCCATGCATTTTGCTGTTTTTTATATAATTTTATATTATTGTACATTATTAATTGTTTCATTGAAATTATTATTATTATATTTATTACTAATAGCCAAAGTCTAAAAGTAAATGGTCACATTATTTATTTTGTTTATTTCCATTATCATTAAAATATTAATGCCCTTGAGAGGAATTCTGAAAATATTCTAAACATATTATAACCTTTTCTCATATCCTAGTTGTAATTAAAAAGTTAAAAAATTAAACTAGGTTTGGCTAAAATAAAAGATTCCTTATCATGGGTCCTCAAAAAGGGCATACGAAGATCGGATATCCAGAGTTAGTTTGTATGTGTTGCTTTAGATGCTGTTGCCGGGGAGTTTTTATTTCGTAGTTTGTGTGGTTTCTGAGGTGTGTTTTATTTCCAAAATCCAAGCACGTCGGGCAGACAAAAACAAATAAAAGTTTTGCATGTGAAATGCAGTTGAAATTCTAGACCCAAATTCAGAAGATACTTTTATTTTGTACCTAAGGCAAAATCTTTAAGACTTAACTGCTGATTTCTGTTGTTAGTGGCAGAAAAAAAAAAAAAAAATTGTGTAAGTGCGAGACGAGATGCAAATGCAACTTGCAATAAATTTTACATTTTCACTGACATTGCATTCTGTTAAAATTCCCCAGACAGGAACCTACCAAACTGAAACCCCACACACCTCCCGTAAGGGCCTCCAATGTGTCGTCGTTACCAGTTTATTGAAATTTTATGCAATTCTTGCATTTTATAGAATTGCATGCACTTTGTTTACGTGGTTGGATGAGGGGGTGTGTGGGTTGGTTGGTTGATCCGAATGGGAGGACATTTTGGTTATGCAATTGGGATAAAGTTTGTCTTCGATTCTGTATACATGTTTGTTGCGACCTGTCAAAGCTGGCGCTTCTCGCGATTTCCCCAATAACAAGAAAAGTTGTTCGGCTGAATATTCTGAGGTTACCCGCTGGTTTTTGTCCTCATGTTAAATGTAAAGCACATGAACGGATTTCAGCATGCGGCAACAGAAGAAAACTTTTGTGCTTAGCGAAATGTTCAAGTGTGGGATTTTTAAATATTAATATTAGGGATCATTGAGATTTATAAGTTGGGTATTCTACTTATAAAACTTAAGAAAAATATATCATTTAGTATTTAATGCAAAAATATATTGTTATATATTAAGGAATTTCTGTGAAAATCATTATTAATGCTAAATAAATATATCTTCATTCTTTGACCGAAAACAGCAGCTTGTCGCCATCTGTATTTTAATTCTCAGCAAACCTGCTGGGCATTGTTGTTGTTTTTAACAATCGTTGAGGCGTTAAATTTTAATCTTGTTCGCTCCCTTAATTCGTAATTTCTTAATTCTCCACTTATGTCATGAAACGCGCTCGCCGCAGAGCCAGGCAAAAATAATAATTAAAATATGGAAATGGAAAAAAAAAAGAAAAAGCCACAACGACAGTTGCTATTATGGAAAGGGGAGAACTTACATTATGAAACAATAATTAACTTACGTAATTGGATTTTCTCGCCATGACAACAACATTTAAGGGCGATCAGATTACCGGAAATACAAGAAAATTATCATTAGTTGCAACGGAAATTAAAATGATGACAAGAAACAATAAAGCCATTTAAAACAACTTTTAAAAATGTCAAAAAAACAGTCTTAAATGTTTTGCTTTGGCAATTATACAATTAAATATGGATATTAAGTATTTGTGACAATTACTCAAACTATCGATAATGGTCATTGACAACCTTTTGATAATTATTAACTGTTTTTAATACATAAAATAAGCAAGTCTGCACACTTTAATATTATCCAACATTAGCTTTTCCTTAAGAGCATTCATCATTAAGAAGCTAATTAAAGTTGGCTTCTAAGAAATTGAAGCCACTTTAAACACAACCACTAAGTTACCCTATGAAATTGTTTGCCAACTAAACCAGAAGCAACCATGCACAAAATTTGCTCATATTCACACTCCCTGCACACCCCTACTTACGCATACACACATCCACAAACACACACGCACATCAGCCGTTGTTGCATTCCACTGTGGCATGAACCAAGTCATACGGTGAGACTACAAATTTCTCCAGTGCTCGAGGAGCGCAAATTTCAAATGGCTTGACACCACGCTGACGGCCAGGCAGTTGTTGATGGTTGGCTGAATGACTCCCCTCTCTATGACTGGCAGGTCCATTGTTAAATAGTTGCATTTACCCCCAAAGGATATTAAGCAGGCGCAGCGGAAGGCAAAATCAAGTGCGGCATGCATATGCTCTGCCATGAGTAAATAATATGAATGTAAACTAAACACAAAACATTCAAACGTGCTCAACGCCCTTTTCCCAACAGCAAAAATAGATACAGATGATTATCGAAGGCAAATTTAATTTAATATTAGTGTTGAGAGCACATCTCAACACTGACTTCAAATAGATTGCGTGGCTTTGATGATCTTGCTTATGGTACATCCAGCTAAGTACACTAATTGTGCTCTTAAATGGAATTAAACTGCTCAGTAAGTAAACGACTTAAAACGAAAAGGTGAATGGAGTCAAACTCAGTCTTTAAGTATAAGTAGTCGAAGAATTGATTTCAGCACAAAATGTACATATTAACATACACAAACTGAAACGTAATTTTAACTATTTCTGGTATCATAATCTGAGCTATAATTTGAAAACATAGCAAATCAAAAGAAACAAAACTTGATAGATATAACAAATAATACATAAATTTAATATATCTTAGAAACTCAAACAAATGATTTAAATACATACATTATTCAATAGACCTTTTTAAATCCATATAATAATTATTTGTACGCTCTCATTGCATTTTAAATGCTACAATGGCGAACGGAAAATGCCACTTTTCTCGTTTCTCTCGTCATATAAAATGTCGATCAACTGTTAAGTTATTTCTGTGTGTGCATGTGTGTGTTCACCATTGTGGGTGTGTGTTAGTTTTGGCGCCATATTGTCGCTGGCGGCGCACCTTTTGTTTGGCAGCGTCGTGGTGAATATAGTTCTTGTCCCATGTTAAATTGATGCTGTAATTTAATTGTATGAAAAACATTTCCATATCTCATTCAAATGCAATTTTCTCATGCAGGTTGCACGCTTCACACGACCTCTTGCAAATTGCTGACCTTTGCACTCAATTATTTTGTTCTATGCAATGTGAGACAAACATTTTATATTTTTAGAAATGTTGTTATGAATCTAAAGCTGCATAAAATGAATTATATTTTTAAGTCATAAAATCAGAATAACAATCCCTGAACTAATGAAACTCGTAAGCGAGTGAGAGAAACTTCTTTAATTTTGGAAACATCTTTGAACTTTATAGTGTCGCATAAGAGACAGACGCAAATTTTTTGAGAAACCAAAAATATTTTCTAGTTTGATAACAGTTTATAACTATGTATATCCTTAAACGGTAATAATTATTTCACCCAATCTTTTATTTTTTTTAATCTTCACATTTAAATCTCTCTGTCTCTCGCTCTATTAATCTTTAAGTTTTGAGTTTTCTTCAGCTCTTACTAAATGAATACCTCTGTTTCTATCCATATTATTTTCGTAGGTATCTTCTCAATTTTTAAAGATTTTTACACATGTGTTTCGCTTTTTATATCTTGCTTT